GTGAATTTTTTCAATAAACATACAGTTGTCATTTTGTATCCTTGGTTTTTATAGCATGAATTCAACCAAGAACAGATAAAAAAAAAAAACAAAAAAAAAAAAAAACAGTATTTGCCACCCATGTTTGGAAACACTCTGAGGTAGAGGGCCAATTGCATGCATTTTCTACTCCATTTTATATCAGGGACTCCAGCATCCTTGAGTTGTTTGTGTTTTTTTGGGTAACTGCCGGGGTCCTGGAATCAGGTGCCCTCTAATACACCAGGAGGACTGTGTTTTGGTGATGATATTTGTGTTTTTGTTTAGGAGAGAAATTACTCTGTAGTCATCTTTTGTTATAATGTCTTTCTGGTTTTGGGCTCATGGTAAAGGCTAGCCTCATTAAAATAGTGGAATATGTTCCCTTATTCTTTTCTTGGTAAATTATTTATTTTAGGTTGGCTTTTTATTTTTACTTCCTGAAATGTTTGATAGAATTCACCAATAATCTGGAGTTTGTTTACTCTGTTAGAAGGTATTCAGTTTCAGTATAAATTGTTTTTCCCTTTCCTTTGGTAATTTGTAGACTTTAAGGATTTTATTCATTTAATCTATATAGTTGAATTTATTGGCATTAATTTGTCTTTATTGTACTTTTTTTTTCTTTAGGATGTATTTCACTTTTTATCCTTGTATTCAAAATTGTGTCTTTTTTACTCCTAAGCCTTCCGTAATGTTTATCATTGTATCGATTTTTCTTTTGTTTTTTAGATGTCTGTTTCAGTGGTTCTTTTGCTCTTCATTTCCTCTTTCCTAATTTAGGTTTAATTTTTTTCTTCATTTTTTAGCATCTTAAAGTTGAAACTTTAGATTTCTTGCATTGTTTTTTTCTCCTAAGAAAAATATTTAAAACTATAAATTTCCCAATCTGCATTACCACAAGCAGTGAACTAGGGTACCTTTGTCTCCACATCCTCACCAGGACTTTTGCTGTTTGTTGATTTATTGATGGTAGTTATTCTGGCAGATGTGAAGTGGTACCTCACTTTTTAATTTACACCTCTCTGATAATTATGATTTGAGCATTTTTGCTTATGTCCCTTGGCCATTTGTATGTCTTTGGAGAAGTGTCTATCTAGGTTCTCCGCCCATTTTTTCATTGGGTTGTTTGTGTTCCTTTTGTTGAGTTATATGAGTACTTTATATATTTTGGAAATTAACCCTTTATCAAATGTATTATTGGGAAATATGTTCATCTCTGCAGTAGGTTCACTTTTTATTTTGGTGCTGGTTTCTTTTGCTATGCAGAAGCTTTTATTTTGATGTAGTCCCATTTGTTTATTTTTTTCTTTGTTTCTCTTGCCCTGGGCATTGTATCAGTGAAAATTCTGCTATGTGAGATGTCTGATATTTTGCCTCCTATTTTTCCTCTATGATTTTTATGGTTTCTTGACTTACATTTAATTTTTTTTTAATCCATTTTGAGTTTATTCTTACTATGTTGTAAGTTGGTGGTCTAATTTAATTTTTATTCATGTATCTGTCCAATTATCCTCTCATCATTTTATTGGATACTAGAGGCGATTGGGACCTGACAGCCAGGGGGAGAGACCGGAAGGTTGGCCAGCAGAGCCCAGCCAGGCTCTCGGGGCCTGTTGGCAGGGGAAGGGCCAACCGCCACTGGGGTAGGTGGGTGGGGGGCTGATTGGGGCCTGCCAGCCAGAAGAAGGATCAGGGGAGGGAACCAGGAGGTTGGCCATCAGCCCTGAGGTGGGGGCCAGCCCTCAGACCCCTGGGAAACAGGCTGCATCCACCGCCACCCACCCCTGATTCCCCATCCCAGACCACGGGCCCAGCCCCAATCAGATAATTAGGGCCTACTGGCCAGGGGGAGAGACCAAGAAATTGGCAGGCAGGCCCCATCAACAGTTGGGGCCTGTGGGCTGGGGGCAGCTCCTGCATTGAGCGTCTTCTCCCTGGTGGTCAGTGCATGTCATAGCAACCAGCCATTCCATCATAACGGTTGCTTAGGCTTTTCTACACTAATAAGAGAGAAATATGTAAATTGACCTTACCTCTATCAGGAGGGAATATGCAAATTAGCAGGACAGAGAGTGGTGGTCCTGCCCCCTCTTCCCCCAGCTGCTCCAGGCACAGAGACCTGGCCAAAACCAGCAGTTGGACACCCCCCAAGAGGTCCTGGATTCGAGTGGATGCAGGCTAGGCTGAGGGAAACTGCTCCGCCCCCTCCAGGCATGAATTTCGTGCATCAGGCCTCTAGTTCTTTAATAATATTGAACAGTGCCTCCTTGGATGTTAGGTAGAGAAACTCACAGAGTGGTCAAACAGTATGCTTATTTATAAATTGCTTTCCTAAACAGTTTTTATACTTATATTTCTCCTTGCTAATAGGAGCCAGGTTCTTTGAGAAAATGGTTGATTCAAGATCTAGGACAGCAAATGTAAGAGATAAACCTGGAACAAACTTTCCTGCAGAAAGCAGGAGAATTAAAGATTACAGTGGTCATGTCAGAAGAAATAGGATTCTATTTGAAGGGACTGCTGTTTGTCAAAGATGGAACAGTTTTAGACGAACAAGTTCTATGATTGAAAAGCATTAAGTATTTTCAAAAGCCAAGAATCTTAAGGATACAAAGCAAACTAAAAAATCCATTGCAAAACTACACTAGGAGGGAGCTAGGGGATAAAGTCATCATTCTTCAGACTGGCTCAAGAAAAGAATCATGTATTTACCTTATACTTCCCATACAACCCTATATCAAAGTCACCAAATTATTGTTGAGGGATATTTCATTATAGAAGTCTACTAATAAATGAAAATGTATAGAGAATTAGACTAACTAAACTTGCAACCATTATTAATTGAAATACTATGGATAGAAAATGATCATCATTGGCTACTAATATCCTCAGAGAAAACATGGATACATGCATTCGGCTGACAACACCGGACCCCTCTGATTATATATAACACTAGAGGCCCGGTGCTTGGCATTTGTTCACCGGGGTAGGGTCTCTCAGCTCAGTCTGTTGCCTCTTGTATCCAGGACCCCCGAGGGATCCTTAGCACAGGCACAGAGGTGGGTGTGGCTCCTGCCACCGCTGCTGTGCTCGCTAGCCAGAAGCCCGGCTTCTAGCTGAGTGATGAAAGTTGGTGGTCTAATTTAATTTTTATTCATGTATCTGTCTGAGAGCGCACTAATCACCAGCAGGCAGCTCCTGCATTGAACTTGTGCCCTCTGGTGGTCAGTGCATGTTATAGCTACTGTTGTTCCACTGGTTGCTCAATTTGCATATTAGCCTTTTATCATATAGGACTAGAGGCCTGTGCATAAAGATTTGTGCAAGAATGGGCCTTCCTTCCCCTGGCTACCAGCACTTCCTTTACTCTGGCTGGAGCATCCTTTCTGCTCTGTCCCAGAGCCGCCTTTCAGCCTTCCCAAGCTCGGTGCCTGCATATGCAAATGAACCTGCCATCTTTGTTGGGTTAATTTACATACTCCTGATTGGCTGGTGGGTGTCACAAAGGTACAGTCAATTAGCATGTTACTCTTTTATTAGGTAGATGTTACAGAAAGAGAGACAACCTGTTGTTACATGACAGCTGATATGATGCCATGGGAAGTGCACAGCTTTTCAAATTTTGAACCTGTTCAAGGCCTATGATCTACCCTTTTATATTACATGCTATGGACACATGAACTTATTAAAATTCATCTCAAGGATGCTATCAGCCAAATCTAGAATTTCAGAAATTCTACACAATGGTCCAGTCTCTTCAACAAGTAACAATCAAGAAATAAAAAGGATGGGAAAATACTAGAGACTAGAGGCCAGAGGCAGATGCATGACATTCATGCAGGAGTAGCCCTTTCTTCTCCCATCTGTTGGCACTGGCTTTCCTCTTGCTGCCGGCAGGCACCCAGGACCCAGGCTTCCCTCTGGCCTCCAGCAGGCACTCAGGACCCGGGCTTCCTTTTTAGCCTCGGCCTTGTCCAGAAGGTCATCTGGAAGGACGTCTGGTCTAATCAGCACATTATGCTTTTATTATCATAGATGATTATTATATATTAAAAGAGAAAGATGGGAAAAATACAATATGTAGACTTTGTTTGGGTCCTGATTTGAACAAACCAACAATAAGAAGACATTGGAATAACCGTAGAAATTTGAACCGTGACTGGATTTTAGGTGGTTTTAAGGAATGGCTAATATTTCTATGTAATATTAATATTGTGTTCATGTTAAAAATAGGTCTTATCTCTTAGAAACAAAATAATATCCTTATCAGTGAAATGAAAGTCTCTGCAATTGCTTTTAAATAATCCTCTGAGAGGTTGAAAGATGAGGTCCTGTGACAATTATTTATCTTAGATGATGAATAAATGAGTTTATTATAATATTTATTCTACATTTAAGTGTTTGAAATTTTCCATCATGAATTTTTATGTATATACATATATATATTATTGATTTTTGTACAGAGGGGAAGGGAGTTAGAAACATCGATGAGAGAGACTCATCGATCAGCTGCCTCTTGCACACCCCCTACTGGGGATATGCTCACAACCAAGGTACATGCCCTTGACTGGAATCGAACCCGGGACCTTTCAGTCCCCAAGCCGATGCTCTATCCATTGAGCCAAACCGGTTTTGGCTCCATCATGAATTTTTAAATTAAAAAATAAATTTAGCTTTAACAACCCAGGGGAAGATAATTCTTAAATTTTCAAAATAGTGAGAAGCTTTCAGAATTTTCACCCTAAACATTTGAACTATGTATATACATACCTACAGGAATGTTATAGAATTTTTTCAGCCTCATTGCTGCAATTGATCTGGGCCCAACCAACATGCACTTATCTTAAAGGATCTTAAGGATCACATCTTAAGCCATTCTTACATCGATCACCAACCTAGAAAAATCTTTCAGGTAAATCTAATACAGTGCATTTTTTTCCTGTCACTCACTCACCAAGGTCCCAATATTTGTTTTTCAGGTACAGCAGGTACAGACTGTGCAACAGGTACAGCATGTCTACCCAGCTCAGGTGCAGTATGTGGAAGGAAGCGATACTGTCTATACCAATGGAGCAATGTAAGTTTATGTGGGAGTCTTTTTAATTCTCCCGCTTGAGGCCAGAGATCTTCTACTGGGGCAGTTTCCATGGTGTATCCAGTCCAGCTATGCTCCCTCTGCTATATGTCAGCCTGTAAGATTTTACCCAATAAGGCTTATTTTATATTTGCACCACATAGTGTTAGGTATTTGTACAATGTAGAACTGGTTTTTTTAATTATTTGTGTGTGTGTGTATATATATATATATATATATATATATACACCTAAGCAACCGAACAACCAGTCGACCAGTCGCTATGACTCACACTGACCATGAGGGGATAGATGCTCAATGCACAGGATTTGGCTCCTGCCTGTCTGGGTCTGGCCTGCAAGGATTGGGCTTTCTCCTGTCTGGATCGGGCCTGCGGATGTTGGGCTGAAACTGGCTATCCAACATCCCCTGAGGGGTCCTGCATTGCAAGAGGGTGCAGGCCATGCCATGGGACCCCACTGGTGCACGAATCCATGTATCAGGCCTCTGGTATGCATATAAGATATTTGATTAATCTCTTCCCACCCTCCCCACCCTTCCCTCTGAGATTAATCAGTCCGTTCCATGTTTTCATGCCTGTGGTTTCCGCTCCTGGGTTGAGCATCTGCCTCCTGGTAGCCAGTGCATGTCATAGCTACTGGTCAGCTAGTTGGCCATTCACTTAGGCTTTTATATATATACTAGAAGCCGATACACGAAGATTCGTGCTAGAATGGGCTTTCCTTCCCCTGTCTGCTGGCCCTGCCTTTCCACTTGGGCCCAGCCCCTTTCAACTCAGACCCTGGACCTGCCTCTTTCCGTGCCAACCCTGCCTTCCCACACTGCCAAGAGGCCCAGAGACTGGGGATGGGGCAGAATGCCTGCGTCCCACCTGCCCACATCACTTAGCGCCTGTGTATGCAAATTAACTGCCATCTTTGTTGGGTTAATTTGCATATCACTCCTGATTGGGTGATGGCTTAGTGGAGTTAAGGTCAATTTACATGTTTGTCTATTATTAGGTAAGATAGATTATATATAGAGTATATGAATAATTGAACTGCATGTATATATGGTATACAAAATCCAAATATAATGAAATACATGTGGAAATTATTGATTAATGTAGTAAGTACTTCAGTTGTTTCTTGCATAGTTCAAAAGGGAATGTTCAGAGGAATTTTTTAATGTTTTTTTTTAATGAAAACATATTTGAAATATGATTATCTAATTTCTACAACACTGAACTACTAGGAGTAAGTTGTTTTTTTAAAATTATTACTTTGTATAAATAAACTATTTGATATTCAAATACAGAAAACATCTGAAATAAAAAAGTATTGTCTTTGTCCGTGAGACAAGAGCACTATGCAGTGTCATTTGCTCAGGACCCAACTGCCTCCCTTCTCTGTGTACACACACTCTGAGATCTTTTGCTGTTATTATACATACAGGCCTTCCTGTCTGGTCCTTAGAAAAATCAGCCTCTAAAGCACTGCTGACAACTGAGGACTCATTAATGTAGATGCTTGACATATATTTTAAATATCCGAGTTTATTAAATAAAGATGTTTGCTTTATAAAAAGAAAACCTCTTTTTTCACCTTCTCCTGTCTAAAGTATGTATATATTACATGTAGTATCATATATCACATTATATACATATGGAGATATAGAGAGGAGGGGAGAGAGAGAGAGAAAGAGGTTGTGGGGAGAGAAAGGGCTTTCCCAGAAATTCCTAGCTTCTTTTTGCTTTCATTTCATTGGCCATAACTGTGTTACCTCGTAATCATTAGCAACCAGCAACCTGGGAATAAGAGCTGTAGCTTTCGTGTCCATATGCTAGAAAGTGGCAAGGGGAAAGGTTTGTTGGAATAAGTGTTGAGAAAGTTAACTCTACAATATCCAGTATCAATCACAGTCATTTATCATAATTCCAGAGCAGGGTGAGAGATTACTAGAGTGTGACTTTGTGAAAGTTAATACAACCTGCTTCACTTTTTTTCCTCTATGAGATGGATATAGTTAGCTTATCAAAAGTGATTTGTGTAATATCTGAGAAATAGTGAACACTCAATAAACACTAGTTGTTGCTGTTAAATTATGTACTGTAGTTATTTCCCAATACATTTTTCTCTCCTATATAGACTCTAAATTCTGCTTATTGCCTTGTGTATTTTTAAACTACCCTGCCACTGACCTTCTATATAATAGGTAAATGTGTGATCAGTGAGTCAATTTATTCACAAAACCTTGGGAAAACAGCACTTCTAAAGTTGACTAAAATTATATGTCCTATTTAAGCACAGAAATGACTCAAAGTAAATATCTCATGCCAACATGTATTTTATATGGCTCATTAGCTCAGTTGGTTAGATCATGACTGATGAGGTCTAGATTATGAGTTCATTTTCCATGGAGTCCAGTTCGCTTTGATCTGGCCTGTACAGGCTCAGATTGTATCTCACCTGCAGCCATTCATGCCATAAATGTGCACCCTTGGTTAAGAGAAAGGAGGATGCATCTTTAGAAAACTTTTCTTCCTAACAAGTATAATTTTTTTATTAAGATTCTGCAGCATCATTTTCATATTTACTAAAGAAATATTGTGTGGCCATGAGTTATAGTAAAAATTTTGGTAGCTCGAGGACTATGAATGTTTTTCTCAAATATAGTAAAAGTTTTTTTCAGCAAAAGCCATTCCAATTTCTTTTTTCATTTTATAGTGCTGGCATTTTACTATGCACAATTTTTGTCTCTAATTTTTGTCTATTCATTTTAGGTTCTTTATATTCCCCCTTTTTATTTGGTATATTTCCATGTGTGTTAGGAAAGATTATTCCATGTTCTTCCACTACACTGAATTAATAGCCAGTTAGTGTCTGGTCCCTGATTTGGGGCACAAATTCTTCCTTCTGTGTGATAATAAATGCTTTTTGCTGATGATACTTCCAGAAGATGGGGATGCCAATCTTTATCATGAACTTTAAAGCCCTCAGTCCATGGCCTACAGCCTGTGCATGCTTAGTCAGTGCTGGTCCACCCTAGGCTCCTGTCACCAGCATCCTCATGCCGAGTAGCCATAATGCACGGGTCTCACTCGAGGTGATGATTGCCCTCACAGAGATGTGTCATCACTTAGGAAAATGTGCAGTCATTATAATTTAATGATACTAAAGTGTTTACCTGGTTTTCACTGTGAATGAGGACCATTTACTTGCCAGCATGACAGACTTCACTGGGTGAGTTAGTGAGAGAGCATATGTTTAAACTGAACAATTGAGACGTGCAGGGAGTTGGAGTAGAATAACTCTTTACTCAAGGGGAAGGTAACTTAATTCCTTTCACTCCTGTTTATTTTATCATTGCCTTGTAGTAACCCAGGCTACATCATCTGTATATTTTCTTACAATTGTTTTCTCAAGAGGATTTTTCTTAAAGGCTGTCTATATTTTCTGTCTTGTCCATTTCTACAATACATAGTCTGTAATTTACAATCTCTAATCATTTAGAATACTATAATTAAACCTGCTGAGAAACATTTCATAACATGTAGAGAATCTGATTCAGTTGAAATTTATTGATGTAGCTAAGAAATCAATTTTATAAATGATTTTCGTCTTTTCCCCACTCCTTTTTGACCCATACTTCCTAAACTCACTCCTCCATCATGCTAAGTAGAAATAAATCATAGTATATCAGGACCAACTTAAGAAATACTTTAATTTTTTTTATTATTTCCTTATATCAAACACTCTATGAAGCTTATCTCTGTTTTAAACATATTAATGTTTTAAAATGCTCTAGTATTCATTGCATGGGTATTTGTTATATTAAGACTTGACACATAGAAACGCATCTCATGTTTTCCTGTTTAGATTATAGATTTATCATCAACCCCAGTACAGAATTTATCAAACTGTATTTAATAAAATGTTAGTCCATTTATGGTTACAAAAGCAGGGAAATACCACATGAAGGCCCTTCTTTTGAGGTCTCTAAATTCCTATAATTTCTATTATTAGTCTTGTAAAGGCTCTGAGTAGTCCTATGGGAAAGAATTGCAGTATTTTAAAATCTACGCCACAGAATTTTTTTATTTGAATAGTCCTATCTAATAAAAGAGTAATATGCAAATTGATCATCACTCCAACACACAAGATGGCCTCATGTGGACACAAGATGTGTGCCACAAGATGGCCGGCAGGGGTGGGTAGTTGTGAGCAATCAGGCCAGCAGGGAAGGGCAGTTGTGGGTGACCAGGCCTGCAGGGGAGGGCAGTTGTGGGGAACCAGGCCTGCAGGGGAGGGCAGTTGGAGGGGAGGGGACCAGGCCTGCAGGGGAGGACAGTTGGGGGGAACCAAACCTGCATGGGAGGTCAGTTAGGGGGCCTGGGCTGTCAGCGGAGGGTAGTTGGGGGAGACCACACCTGAGGGAGGGCAGTTGGAGGGACCAGGCCTACAGAGGAGGGCAGTTGTGGGGACCACACTTGCAAGGAAGGGCAGTTGGAGGGACCAGGTCTGCAGGGGAGGTTATTTGGGGAGGACAAGATTTGCAGTGAAGGACAGTTGGGAAGACTAGGCCTCCAGGGAAGGGCAGTTGGGGAGAACCAGGCCAGCAGGGGAGGGAAGTTGGGGGGACCAGGCCAACAAGGGTGGAGTAGTTGGGGGGGACCAGGTCAGCAAGGGAGGGCAGGTGAGGGGGGGACCAGGCCAGGAGGGGAGGGCAGTTGGGGGTGACTGGGCCGACAGGGGAGGCCAGTTGGGAGGGACCAAGCCAGCAGGGGAGGGCAGTTACAGGTGACCATGCCGGCAGATGAGGGCAGTTAGGGGCAATCGGGCTGGCAGGGGAACGGTTAGGGGCAATCAGGCAGGCAGGCAAGCAGTTGGGAGCCAGCAGTCCTGGATTGTGAGGGGGATGTCCAATTGCCAGTTTAGGCCTGATCCTGCCAGCATCAGGCCTAAACTGGCAGTCGAACATTCCTCGAGAGATCCCAGATTGGA